CATGCATTTCCCTCTCTCTATCCACAGTTGATTTTTGGTAGTCCTGGCAGTTGTTTCCAATAAAGCTCCCATGAGTGCTGAATTAGAGAATACAGAGTCATCACTCAAAGGGGAAATACCGGGTTAGGCTCTTGCAAACCTCTGGCCACAACATTTTAATCAACCTTTTTTTATGTGTGGGTTTCTGTTGAAAGACACTTCCACAGCTCCATCCCACACAAGAGATGTTACTTTAGCCCTTTCCATCACAGCCTCATGTATGAATCGGTCAATTTCCTTCTCCTTTTTCTGAACGTGCTATTTTGTGGATTTGTCAACACCGAATGCATGGCCAACAGCACTGCAGCTCCTGCCTCACCCAAGCTTGTCTCACACAGGCACCTTCCCCGTAAGGCACAGCACAGTCTGCTTAGCTCAGGAATGCCAGACAGCAGTGCTCCTCTTGGGGCCACTCTAAACAGTGACATCACCACAAAAAAACACAAAAATGCAGAACACATGTCACTAAATAGACCATGAAGAGGACACTTGTTAGCACGAGAGATGAAACGAGAAGACAGAGGTTGCCTCGCCGGATCTCAGATGGAACGTGCCCATCATGCAAATCCACCTTCCCCTGCTCTGTGCCTGCCTGTGTGTGACCATGAGAGTGCCACCAGTATCGATTTTGGGGTTACAAGGACATTTTAGCAAGCAGGTGAATTTATAAACGCAGAATCCATGATTAATGAGGAGAGATGGTGCTATCTATCTGAATTTAAACAAGAGCTGTTACTGATCCATGGGTGGCTTTGAGGAGGTACTGAATCGTCATCACTCAAGGAGCCTAGACTACGACTTGATTCCCTATTAGAGAGAAAATCATGAAGAAAAGAATCAGTGATGAACTCACAGTATATTGATCCATGTCTTAATTTTAGGTTTTACCTTTGATGAATAATTTTTATGCTGTCACAGATTAGAGAGAGCCTGACTCACGTGTTGCCATCAGGGCAGCTGGTCCTGGGTAGTTATAGTTTTATATTTCATATTTAGTCATAATGGTGTAGTTGGTAAGATAGAGCATGGACATTGAAAGCAGATTAACACCATCTGAAGCCTGGCTCTGCTACTTACTGGCTGGGAGTTTCACCTGTTTGGGCCTCAGTTTTCTCATCTAAGAGGTGAGTTATTATGAGGATTAAATGGCTGAACACATGTGAAATACTTAGCACAGCACCTGGTGTCTGGAAGAGCTGAATGAATGTTAGGTATTACTTGTCAGCAGGGTTGCTGCGGGTTCCTCTCCTAGACCCCAATCCTCTGTGCCATCTTCCCAGTTCCACGCTCCATGAGCTGTATTTCCCTCCTGGATATCAGATGGAACTGGACAATTCCTAGCCTTTGAGACCCTATGGCTCGCGGGACTTTGGTCTGCTCTACAAAAGTCAATGACTGACGAGCTAGTTTGGGCTACCTAGGGAGGTGTTCTGTGAAGGGGACCAGACCCAGCTGGAAAAGGTACAGATCCTAATCCAATATGACTGAAAATACGGAACAGGATGGGAGTGCAAGTCTGGCCTCCTTGAGAAGCTCTCCAGGAAGGTCTGACCTGGGAGGCCAGCAAGAGGAGCAACCCCTCTGGAAGGAGATGCAGGGCAGGATACATGGAGGAGGCGCTGCCCGCCTGCGGTGGGCTCTGGGGAGTGAATGATATTGACAGGTGAGGAAAGGAGTGAGAATTTCTAAACAGTGGGAATTGCATGAGCAAAAGGACACAGGTGTCACTGTGCAGGGTCAATTCCAGAAACACCCAAGAGTTCTGGGCTTGGAGAAATGCCATGTGGCAAAGTCTAGAGGGAGGGACAGGTGCAGAGCCTACCTTCTGCACCGTCTGGCACACAGTGTGCATGCAGGTGTGCTTTGAAGGCCTAACTCCATGGAGGGAAGGGGATGTGTCTCATAAGGAAGGCCAGGCTTTTAAGAAGTGGGGGTGACATACTCTAACTCTGTTAAGGAAGGCGAGTCTGGCTGCACAAAGAGACATGGAAATGGCGATGGAAGGTGAAGTAGAAGATATAAAAGTTGAGGCAAGAGACAGGAGCAGCCCGGTTGGGCAGCAGCCATGTGGAAGACTCCCATCAGCAACAATGACAAGTGATTGCCACTGTTCATTCAGAGTTTTCAATTGCCTGCCCTGTATGGGCATGACCTTGCTTGTGTCAGAAAACTCAGGGTATCCTCCAATCCCCTCTCTTTCTCGCTCGCTGCATCCTGTCCATCAGCAAATCCTCTCAGCTATTCCTTCCAAGATATCCAGACTCCAACCACTCCTCCCATCCCCACTGCCACAGCTCTGTCTAAGCAGCCAGGAGCCCTTGCCTGGATTATGGCAATGCAGTGGCCGCCCAGTTGGTCAACTGCATCCACTCTGCCCCTTTCCTACAGTCTATTTGAACACCAGAGGCAGAGACCTTTGTGAGGTCTAAGATCATGTGACTCCTCTGTTCAAAACCTCCAAAGGCTTCCCATCTTGCTCTGAAGCCAAATCCAAGTACTTTGAATGATCCCTCTCCCACCACCCATTAACCTCTTTAGCCTCAAGCCAGTCTATCCGCACACTCGGTCCTGTCCAGCCAAACTGACCACTTCCATCAGGGCCTTTGCAGTGGCTATTCCCTCTGCCTGGAATAGGCTTCTCCAGGTTTCCTGACAGCTGACTTCCCGCCTTCTCCAGAGCTTGGCTCAAATGCCACCTTCTCACTGACCCATTCCCTAATCCTGCTACTTCAATTGAAACCCCCCACAAACTCTATCCCCTAATGTTGCACACCATCAAACAGAATACACACTTGATTTGCTTTTCTATTGCACTCTCCCTGCACTGTAATGGAGGGTCCCAAGAGGGCAGGGAATCTTTCTTGTTTCACTTCTTTATCCCCAGCTCCTAAACAAGTCCTGGCACATCATGAAGTGTTTATTAAGTCTTTGCTGAATGAATCTCATGTACTCCTCCCAAGACCTTTTAAGGACAGTGCTGTGACTTCCAGGGAGGCAGCATAGAGGACAGGATTGTAAGATGCTGCAGAGGTGATGTCACCAGAAACAGTCAACCCACTGGGAGGTGGGGGTGGGGGTGAGGAGATCGGGAAGATATGTTGGAGTTTCCTGTGTGCTGGGAGGAGGCGAGTGTCCTTGGACTGAGATTCAGGCTTCCCCTCTCCATGCCTAATCATCCCTGCTATCTCTGCTTCCTGATAGTGGAAGGTTCTGGTTCAGCCTCCTCCCATAGTGTCATTTTGGGGAGCGGAAAATGTAAAAAAGAAGTGGAGTGGGCAGAGTCCATTCCACGCAGAGGTGAAGCCTGGGAGCACTGGACTGGGAGTCAGGAAAATGGGTTCCAGGCCTGCCGCTAGTCTTCCTGGCTGTGTTACCCAGGTGAGTCACTACGCCTCTCTGGGCCTCAGCAACAAATACACAGGAGTTACTATAATTACCCGAGAGAGGATTCTTTCACTCTTAATTGGAGCTTAAAGGTGCTAAGACTCAAAACCTGTAATTGAGAAACAAAAGGTCCTTACCTCTCTGGGGTCTCCATGTAAATCCAGAGAGAAGAATTTCTGTGAAGACAAAGGCAGAGGATGTGGGTTAGAGGCTTCCCAGGAGAACACTGAGCTGGGTGACTGGGGCAACAGAGGTGTCAGGTTCTCCCTTCTGGTGCCAAGCTGGCTGGACCGAAAGGAAGTGGGCAGGACCCCGGCTCTGCTGGGCCTGAGCACAGGGTGAAGGCATAGCAGGGAGGGGTGGGCACAAGCATGGGAAGGATGTCCTGGGGACTCCGAGCCAGAGTCGATGGAGCTCTGGAGAGGAAGCCCACTCATTGAGGCTGACTGGCTCCCCATCCTTCTCCTATTCTTCTTCCCCTGGAAAGAACCCATCAATTCTCCTTCGGAGACGTCCTTCTTCCCCTATCACTCCATGAATTCAGATATCTATATGTGACCTGGTGTGCTCCATCTCCCTGAACATGGATATTAGTTCAGGGATGGGCATACACCCATGTCAATCCAATAGAGTATACCCCAAAACTTTTGCAGGAATTGTTTAGAAACAGATTTTTAAAGTAATAGAACATTAGTGCCATTGTCTTTAACCTTCCCAGGAGACATATCTGCCTAAGAGTGAAGCCAGCACAGAGATGTGCAAATCTGAAGGATAGAGAATGGTAGATTTTCAACAATATCCTGTGATCATCTGGATCCAGCCATACCTGAAGGCATCAATCGGGAGATTTTCAGTTTACACGAGAATGCTATTGCAACACATTTCTTTTTCTGTTCAAGGCACTTGGGGGAGTTTCCTCATCTCCCATTAGAAAGCCCAGACTCATACAAGCTCGCTGAGACTCATCCTGCCCCATGCTTCTCTTTGGTATGTGTTCACCAAGATTGCGGTGACTGTAGTGTTGCACTGCAGTTCCCAGATCTGACCTGTGCTCAGGGCGTAACCAGTGCAGGTTCCTCCATTAAGGATTATAGTCCCACTAGCCAGAAGCGTGTGTGTGTGTGTGTGTGTGTGTGTCTATGTGTGTCTCTTTGTGTGTGTGCCTGTGTGTGTTTCTGTGTGTGTGTGTCTATGTGTGTGTGTCTGTGTGTCTATATGTGTGTGTACAGAGTGGGTAATCATGGAGGCGCTTTCACAGGGTCTCAGAAAAACTCAAAAAGATGTCCCAGGATCTTAGGGATGGGTTACCCAAAGACTCAATTCTTCCCTTTTAAGCTGGGTCCTGTGACACCACATGCAGAATTGCTGGGATATTTTCCTCCTTCCAGGCATTAGAAAACAGGTGTGTTTTAATTCCTTGAATAGTTTGGTCACTTAGAGCCTGAACCAAGACCTAAGCCCCAAGAACACATTGGATTCAACCCATGGAAACACAAGGAGAGTCCAGTGGTAGAGGCTGGCCCTGAGTCCCAGGAGTAGCCTCAGGTCCCAGGATAGAATCCAGGCATCAGGCTACCCTTGAACTTGGAATTCAAACTATTCCCCCTCAAAGGCAATAGTCTGCAATGTCCCTGGGTGCTGTGTCCTCTGGATGTTTCTCCTGCTGGGCTTCCCTGTGATGAGAGACTGCCATGGCCGTCCATCAATCCTAAAGGTCCACAAGTCCTAATATGTGTGGATGGCAGTGGTGGCAGAAGATACTCTAGAGGCGCAGTTGTGGGTTCTGGGTCCCACAGTGTTGCTTCTGTGACTGATTTGAACTGTGACATGGGGCAATTACAAAATTCATCTGTCTTTGTTACCTCTATTAAAATGGGCACAATGATCTCAAAGCTGAATTTTTCAAGAAAGATAAGGTGGAATCAGGGTTAAGGGCATGAACTCCCGAATTCCACTGTCTGGTCTCAAACCCCGCTCCTCCACTTTCCCTGTGAAGCATCCCTGATGACTATAATGAATGCTTCCCCTCTGTGCTGCCACCATACTCAACCTGCGAAGTATGTGAATGTGTTTCTCTTTGGATAGTTCCCTGTGAGCAGGGAGTATATCCCCGTCATGTCTGTTTCACTACCACTAACACCCACCCCTATATACTGAGCATGGATGGATGGATGGATCAATGGAGGGATGGATGGAGTTGGTCAATGCATGGAGTACAGTTGAATTGGATGGACGCATTAATAGATGGGTGAAAACAAGTGGATAGGTAATAACTGGATTGTTGGTTTTGAAGGAATGGGTGATGGAGTGAAGATATAAGGTGGCTGGATGATCCATGAATGGTGGATGGATTGAAAATAGATAAATAAAAAGTTATGAACAAGCTGATATTAGATTGATAAAAAGATGTCAGTGAATTTGGATGAATTAGTGAACAGATAGATGGATAAGAAGATCATAGTAGATGGATTAATGATTGAGTGGACAGATGACTATCTTAGAAAGACAACTGAGTCAGAGTCTCAGAAAATCTAGAAAACTGGACCACCACCAGGTCTAATACAGACAGTTTCTAAGTCAACAAAGATAAATTGTGACGTCTTTCTGAAAATCTTTGAGCTTAATATCTCCATCCTCCAAATTCAGGATGATGGTGTCCCCAGGGAATATGTACTGTTTAGTTTCTCAAAAATACATCTGAAAACAAGAATGGCAAAATATTAAATTTTGGTCAAATATTAAATTTGGCCAATTTTTTATCATGTTATTTTTGGACCTTTTTTTTTTTTTTTAAATTTGTGCCATTTTACAATAAAAAAGGACAAATTACATTCCCCATTCAGATACTGACACTCTTGAGAGTTGACAAGTTGTCCAGGTAACTGTCCCAGGGAAAGAGTATGGCTGAAATGAAGAAGTCTGGCACCAAGTTTGCAGGGTTTGGGCTACAGGAATGGGCACACCTACCATTTTCAATGTCGTCTCCAAGAGCTCCTCTTCCGTCTTCTGTCGCAGGCAGTGAACCATGACAGCTGAGGTGATGGTTTGACACCCAGCAGCGATAGCAATTTTCTGCAAAGATCACAGGCAGTGGTAGAGTTCAAGAGCAACGTCCCTTCCCTCCATCAATGTGGAAAGTGGTGTTCTACCCCAAGCCCACCTTGTACAAGTGGCAGGGGGCAGCAGAAGATACTGTAGACCCACGGGTGTGGGTTCCAGGTCCCACAGAGTGTTGCCTCTCTTACTAATCTCAATTGTAATATGGGTCAATTATGTAATCTCTCATCTCTGCTACCTTATCTCCATTGCAATGGACGTAATGATCTCAAGCTGAATGTGTCAAGAAAGACGAGGTAGAACTGGGGTAGAGAGCATGGAATCCTGAATTTCCTTGTCTGCCTTCAAATCCTGGCTGCTCCACTTACCAGCCATTAGGCCGCAGGCAGTCCACCTGATTTCTTTGGGCCTTGGTTTCTCCACCCATGGATGGGAATAATGACTGCACCTACCTCATGAGTTAATACATGTGGGAGAGTGCCATGTCTCCCACACAATAAACACGTGCAGAATTGCAGGAGGCCTAGATAAGACGATTCACACAGAGGCACTTCAGGAGGTAGCGAATGTGCTTTAAAGGTGAGTTCTAAAGATAAACACGATGTCTTCCCTTATAAGACATAGTCGGGGTTTCTCAGCTGAGTGAGGCGTCTGTGGCACAGTCAGGAGTTTCCAGTGGCACATTTGTGTACTAGAGTCACAAGCAGTAATCAAGCATGACTCTTTAGGGCACCGGTTGGTAATGTGCCCATCAAAGGCCTAATAGTAAATATTTGAGGCTTTGTGGGCCACGTGGTCTGTGCTGCAACTTCAACACTGCTGTTGACATGAAACACAGCCATAGACATGAGGTAAATGAATGGGTGTCACTGTGTTCAAAGAAAACTTTATGGACATTGAAATTTGAATTTCATGTAATTTTATGGTTCATGACATATTATTCTTCTTTTGATTCCTTTGATTAAATATTATTCTTCTTTTGATTCCTTTCAATCATCAAAAAATTTTAAATAAACATCCTTAGCTCAAGGGCCACGCAGGCATAGATCCAGATGTGGCCATGAGTGACGGTCTGTTCACCTTTGTCCTAAGTCAAGCCACAGAGCAACACCAATTAATGCACCAAGAACCTCTTTCTATCTTTAAAAAAATGTAAAAAATATAAAAATAAAAAAGCTGTCCTGAGAGAGAGGCTCCCTTCTTCCTGTCCTGGGGATTGGAGTCCACCTGACCAGCACACTCTGGTTTCCTTCTTTTCTAAGGGTCCAGGGACATCTAAGCAAAGACAGGACAGTGAGCCTCTCTCCTAAGTGACCTGGAATTGGGGCGGAGAGCTGCTAATGTAAACATGCTCATTTTTCACAACAGAAAAGACAGCCTGACTACTTTCTGGAACCAAAGGAGAGTCCTTAAGCTTAGGGGCAGATAGGGTGCTCATGCAGACTGGAAGCAAAGTACAGCCAGAAAGAAGGGCACAGAGGGAAAGCAGGCAGGCTCCATGGTGGGGAGGCAGGGCAAGTGCACAGGCCCCCAGAGCCTGGTGCAGGATCTGGGACAGAATCAATGCCCAGGGTGTTTCTCGAGTAAATAAACAGGGAACGGGAGAAGTAGAGGGCAAGAGAGAGAGAAAGATATTCAGAGAGAGAGAGAGGAAAAAGAGTAAGAGAGTCTAGGATTCCCATTATTGTGTAATTTCTGTTTCCTGTTTTTTCACAAAGCTCAGCCTCATCCCAGACCTCTATTTCCTTCAAAAATTAATTCTACTTTTATAAAGAAGATTTTGAGACAAGGTCTTGCTTTGTCATCCAGGCTGGAGTACCGCGGTGCAAACACAGTTCACTGCAGCCTAGACCTCCAGGGCTCAGGTGATCCTCCCTCTTCAGCCGCCCATGTAGATGGGCCCACAGGTTTGCACCACCATGCCCAGCTTAATATTCTTTTTTTTTGTAGAGACAGGGTCTCATTTTGTTGCCCTGGCTGGTCGCAAACTCCTGGGCTCAAGCAATCCTTCTGCTTCGGCCTCCCAAATTGCAGGGATTACAGGCATGAGCCACCACACCAGGCTAATGCTCCTTCTTGACTTAAGTCAGGTCAATGGGCAACTGCTGCTTATAACCAATGAATTCTTAAAAAGTTCTCAAAAATTCTAAAAATTCTTGGCATCCCCATTTTCTCTCCTCCTATGTACTAGCCCTTTAAATTTGGATGTTGTCCTCCAACAAGCTTTCATATCTACCGAAATCCTCCAAGTCACTGGCTCCAGTGGGGAATCCTCGGCCTAGGTCTGGATTCCCATTGATCACCTCTCCCTTTGGCTTCCAACCATTCTCCAGACGATGACAAAATCCTTGCCAGGGTCCTGTGCATTGTGGCCCCTGCCAACGTCCCCGCTCTCAGGACTTACCATGCTCCCCTTGCTCTCCCTGCGCTGGCCCCGTCGACCCTGTCTCTCTCTCTCCCTCGTGATTGGGATGCGGCCTCCTGCCACAGGACACCCGCACTTGCTGCTCCCACTCCCCACTCCCTGGACATTCCTTGCTCCTGACTCATTGGTCACTTTTCCGGCAAGCCTTCTCTGGTAACCTCTTCCTGACCCGGGACTCACTGCTCTCTTTAGATTCTGCTGTGGCAGCAAGTACCTCACCTTCACGGCTCCTGTCATAAGTGACGCTTTGTAATTGTGTCATTCTGTAACTACTTATCTATTCCCTACATTATAGCAGAAGCTTGGGGAGGCGTTAGGTGTTTGGCTAGAATGCAGAGCCACAAAAGGCCATATAGTGTCCACATTTCCTCAACACAGACATCTGGTTTTGAGCCAAACAATGACCTCTGCACATCTCTTGTTTTTGCCTTCACTTATTCACCTAGTTTTGTTGTGTGAACAAATGAATCAACCAGTGAATTCTCCAGGAACCAACCCTGGTGATCAGGCGCTCAGTGTGGAATTCCTCCAGGCCGACAGCCCACAAGTGGGTCCACAGGACTCAGACCCTGAGAGACACAAGACACCATCACTGCCCAACATGGCACCAGGCCCTGGCACATAGGAGGAGTGTGGGCACTGACAGGGCACTGTACTGCCTGCTGGGCCATGAGCTGGAGTCCCAGCTCTGCCCTGATCACCTGCTGCCCTTGGCAAATCCCTTCCAAGCCCTGTGTCGGTTTGCCCGGCTGTGAAACTGGGATGCTGATCAAGGTGTCTCCTCGCCCTTCCTGCTCAGCCATTGGTGTCTCAGTGATTGTAGGAGAACATTAGCTAGAACCCACCGCAAGAGAGACCCCTGAGGATTCAGGAGCACAGAGCCAAGGGGGTGGGGGTATCCAGCGGGAGACCTACCTCAGCCAAGGGCTTGACATCACCTTTCTTCACCAGAACAGCAGTGAGGGCCACGCCACTCTCAGAAATGGCCCGGTGGAAGAGATTCTTTGCCAATGGAGACAAAACCTGAGAGCAGAGTGGAGGGGAGGAGAGTCCATGCTCAGGGGTAGGGTCAGCGACTTGCTCGCTCTCCCAGGCTGCATCAAACCACACTATAAAACCGACACAGGATTGAAGAATCCAGGAGTGGGCTGACCCTCTGCCCACCTTGAGGCAGGCGGAAGGCTTCCTACAGCTCCTGGCACCTCTCATCTGGTTTTTCATCCCAGCTCCCCCAGTATCTCCCGCACCCAATCCCCCACCCCAGCAGGACCCCTCACACCCCCAGATTGTGTCTGTGTCCCACAACCTCTGCCCCATCCCTCCCCATCCCCGGCTCCATCCCTCCTTCCTCTAGCCCGCCTCCCCTAGCCCACCCGGCCCCACAGTCGCAGAGACTGTTGCCTCCTTCTTGGGCATGGACCAGCCATCAGACCACCCCAGAGGAATCCCCAGCCTGCTCAGTGTCCATGTCCCCTCCACACGTAGTTCTGGTTTAAGCTAAACAATGGTTTCTGTCCACCTCTCGTCTTTGCCTGCCCTTACTCATAATTTATGCCTATCCCTACTTCCCAAGAGAAGCGAAGTGAGTGGGAAGGAGAGAGAGAAAGAGAGAGAGAGCTCAACCAAGCTAGAAGAGGGGAATGCCACCATTGTAGGCTGCAACTAGAGATTCATATGGCTCCCGGACACTAAGCTGAGATCTGAGCTTCCTGGGGGCCAAGGAGAGCTTAGTCTTTAGCTTTCCACCCCCTAATGTTGGGCAGTGAGTAGCGTCAGTCCTGAAACCAGGTATCAGGGTAATCAGAGGTGTGCATAGCTGGATTGACAGGTGTCTAAAAGGTCTCATCAGCATCATATCAAGCATGGGGTTGGTCCTGGTGCAAGAAGCACTCACAAGAACAGAGACACTTTCTCCTCCTGCTGACTCTCCAAAGATGGTCACAGAGCCTGGGTTCCCTCCAAAGCTGGCAATGTTGTCCTGGACCCAGTGCAGGGCAGCCAGCTGGTCCAGGTGACCCCAGTTCCCTCGGCTGTGTTCATCCCCTGTGCTGTAAGGAAGAGAACAGGTTGAGGGTGGGGAGCAGAGATGTCATGGCAGGACCTTCAGGACTAGAGATGGGGCTGGGGGCTCTCAGGGAGCCTTTAAGAATAAGACTGGGCTTCAGCATCTCTGAGACCCTGCTTTTATTCGTACAGCATTGTGGTGATGTATGGTTCTACATTCACTCAACTGGCAACTATTTACTGAGCATCTACTGTATGCCTGACACTATCCTATGAACTAGAGCACATCTGAGAGCAAAACAGGCAAAACTTGTGATGACACAAAGCTCCCAGTACAGATCACAAGCAGATAAACAGATCTATAGAGAGAATATAATGATGTCAGGTAGTCAAAGTGCATTGAGGTAAATACAATGGAATAAGGAAAAAAAACAGGAGTGGGACAGGGGATGCCATTTCAGATGGCAATCAGGGAAGGCTTTTTGGAGGCAGTGGCATTTGAGGTGTTGGTGACAAAGATCCTCATAAAACAAGCACAACAAGTACATGAGCCTTGCAAATATCCAGAGAAAGAAATTTCAGACAGAAGATAAAGCAAGTGCAAAGATCCTGGGGCCCAGTGAAAGAAAGTGTGAATCAGGAGGTACAGCTAGAGAGGGCCCTGGGGCCTGGCAAGAACTTTGGCTGTCATCGTAAGGAACATGGGAAGCCGCTGCAGGGTTTTGTGCAGAGGCATTGCATGATTCAACGTACATGTTAAGTGATCACTCTCGGTACTGTGCAACTCAGCCTCAGGATAAAAGTGGCAGGAATCTGAAAGTAAGTGTTAGGATCATAATCAAGGTGAGAGACAGAGAGCTTTGGTTGGGGTAGGAGCCAGGGAAGATTGCAAAGTAGTGGATTCTGAAGGTGGAGCCAAGAGGATTGTGAGAAAAGAGAGAGTCCAGGCTGCCCGTGAGGGCTTCTCCTGAGCCCCTGGGCGGATGCAGCAGCAGCAGCTGAGTGGAGGCGCGGTGGGAGGAGCAGGGGGTCTCTGTTGTGGAGGGGCAGTGGGAGTCAAGGATTCAGCTTGTCCCTGGGAAGAGTAGGGGGCCCTTTAGACAGCCAGGGGCAGGGAGAAGGCAGTGAGTGACGCCTGCGGGATTCAAAGGTGAAGTGGGCTGGAAACAGGGGCTCTGGGCTGCTCCCTGGGATCACTGGGAATTAGTAGGGAGGGAGAGGGAGACAAGAGAGGCCTGTGGACAGGGGGAGTTGGGGACCAGGAAAGGGCTGGGAAGGAAGCATGTCACAGAGGCTGAGCGGCCATCTGCTGCTGCTAGGAGGTCCTGTGAAGTTGGGTGGAGAGCAGGGGGCGGTCATGGGTGACCACGAGGAGACCAGCCGAGTGGCATGGTCAGGAAGAAACCTGACTGGCATGGGTGGAGGAGATACACGGAGGAGAGGAAGTGGAGAGAGATCATGAAGCAGCCTTACTGTAATGGGGAGCAGCGACACAGGCTGTGGCTGAAAGGGATGAAGATGATACTGCCAAGACTGGCCTGGGATGTCTTGCTGACGGGTAGACCAGAACCTATCCTCCATCTCCCTAGGCCTTCTCATCAGTGAGTGGAATCCCTCCCACAGCCCTCCTATCACTCACTCGGGATTAGGGTGCTGGGATGTTAATCCTTAGTAAAGGTTTATAGTAATTGCACCTTGAAGGAGATCTGACTCTTGTCCCCATGGAGACCTGATGGGGAAGACTCCATCCTTGCTTCCTGCACTTGCCAGATTTCAAGCAGAAAATGGGGTGAGGTGGCTGTAATAGTCCTCCAGGAAGGGGTCAGATGCTCCCACACCCCACCATTTGCAGCCCCCATTTCTTTCCCCACAACATGCTCTGAGCTCCCTCTGTGACTCTGCCCCTTCCCTCCTTTCCATGAGAAGTCAGATGTGTCAACCTTCAAGGGCTATGTTGCTTGCTAAGTGTCATGACAGAGAAATTTAACGTGCTAGAGAAACATAGGTGAAGAAGAGATGAGTCTTTCAGTGGAGGTAACTGGGGGTTGGGTCTTGCAGGATGAAGAGGAGTTCTTCAGGTAGAGTTAGCATTCCAGGCAGAGGGAGCAGCACATGCAAAAGCTCAGAGGTAAACAGACGAGTGTGACTGGGGAGTGAGAGGGTAGGTAGTGTCCAATTATGATGAGGCTTGGATGCCTTACTGTGGAACCTAGCTAAGGTCCCCTGAGGTCTGGCATGACCAGAGCTGGGTCCCAGCATCCTCGTGTTGGGGGCCAAAGTGCAGTGAGGAGAGTCTCATTTCTTACCTGAAGAATCCCCAGATGCCCAGGCGGTATTGAATGGTCACCACCACCACGTTTTCATGGGCAGCAAGGGCCAGCCCATCATAGGTTGATGCTGCACCCACCACCAGCCCCCCTCCGTGGATCCACACCATCACCTGGGCAGG